AAACTCTTTCTCAAATTTGTAATTAAAAAAAAAAAACTAATTATCATAGAATCGAGAATTTCGAATTAGGAAAAAATATTACTGCATGTATTTTTTTTCTAATTGCACCAAACCAATTGTTTATTAAAAAATTGGATTGATAGAAATCATGTTAATTTAGGTAAAATCCGGCATGACAATTTTGTAAAAGTCAAAATTCTCTTATTTTTTATTAAAAATATCTGTTTACCATAAAATCGAGAATTTTGAATTAGACAAAATACTATAACATATTTCTTCACATAATTGCAACATATCACGTTTATTAAAAAAAAAAAAATCAGATTGCATAGAAATTAACCCATTTATAAATTGATAATTAAATTTAAAAATTTCATATCATTTGGCTACTACTTTCTTTAGTTCGGATTTTTTTGAAACATAAAATAGAGTTAGATAATATTAATTTGAAATTCAAAATGAAATCGGATTGGAATATCCTAAAAATTTAAGTTTTGTTTAATCCTGTAGAATACAAATTTAAAATTGTTTGCATACGCGTACACAATTTTTTCCATCCTTAAATTAAGTAATTTACAATTTTAAAATAATAAGGCTATAGATTATCAATAAAGACGTTTTACAATATATGTTATTTGGTTATGCAATCTTCATAAAAACAGTATAAATCATATCATATATATCCTGCTAAAAAAAATTATTTAAGCCTATTTAGAATCCTAATACATAGGTATCAAGTGTTTATTTACTTAGATACGGTTTACGCAGAGATATATACGTTGTTTTCTGTTTAATAATATATAAGTTGAATTTTATTTTATTCCAATACATTTTTTTTACGTTCTTCCAATCATCGAAATATAAATGTCTACCTTAATAAAATTAGCCCATGCATCACACAGGTACTGCACTAGTTAAAATAAAAGACCTATTCTTTCGTTTAGTTAAATCTATATACTATTTTAAATTAGCCCATGCATCACACATGACACTTGTCTAAAGTGCATTTATTGTAGGACACGTGTCAATACACTATTAATGAATAACTGTGGATGGCTCCATATGCCGAGCCATCCGATGGCTCCATAACAAAACTGTAAATCTATATACTATTTTATTAAGTATGGTAAGTATATATTAGTATCTAATAGACTTTATTTATGAATGTAGCGTCTATTTCCATAATCCTTGTTTTCATTATTTATAGAAAGATCGCGCGTTTTAGGAAAAAGAAAAAGCTAGTCGAGGAATATTGTATATGAAGATCTCCGCTTCAAGATAGGAAGATCTTGTCCAAGTCTTGATGAAATAATAAGGAAGATAATCGGCCCAAAAGGAAAGAAGAGTTGAAGACTCCTTACCTTAGGGAGACAAACACTTAAGTGAAGGCTGGTGCAATACTCGTAGATCATCGCACTCTTATTGAGCATTTGTTTTTTTTTTTT